TATTTTACTTAAAAAAAAAAAGGAGGTTGCAGTGTGATTGCTTTTTCACAGCTTTCATCCAAGGTAACAACAGATATTAGCTTTCCTGAAATGGTTCAGTAATTTTGGCACTTCGCTCTTTTAAGATCGAGTTAAACATGCTTTTAAATAGATGGATGTGGTCTATTAATAGATCTCATTTCCTTACTAAGGACTTCAAATGAAATTACGTAGTTTTGCTCTGATGTTATAAAGGTCTCAAAGACATTTTCACAAGTTCACATATTTAAAAGGAAAGCAAAGTCCAACTGTACACACCAGAGACAAATTCTTGGAGAGGATTTCCAAATGAGTTTGTATTCTGTGACCTCTTTACTACTAACACATGTTCAAAAGGAAATTGGGAGTGATTTCCAACTTGTCTCCTTTGCCAATTTCCTCACTTTTTTCTCTCCTTTACACATGGGCACCTTTAAGCTGTGTAAATTGTATTTTTTCTCCATCCCTTTCTCAGTTTAGAGTCTCTTTCCTGCAAGATTCTGCCTCTTTCATTCATGCAAAGTCACTCCTATCAGTGTGTCCCTTCACTTTGTGTATTTACGTTTGTTATTAGTTTTAATAAGTTCACACTAACTTAGTAGAGACCTATATTGCATTTCAAAAATCAAATGAAGGAAGCATTTTTTTAGTCACTCATATCTTCCTGCCTCTCACTGACCTCTATTCCGTTTCAAAGATAAGCAAAATATTTCAACTTTTTAAGTAAAGCTACTATGGATATGTCCTCTGAGTCCCTGTGTGGCGCTGTGGGTTAAGGTGCCAGACTGCAAAGCCATTTGAACTACAAGGTTGGTGGTTCAAGCTCACCAGTTGCTCCTTGGAAACCCTATACAGGGTTGCTATGGGTCAGAACTGACTCGACAGCACTTCACAACAATAATATCTCTATTTAATTGATACAATGCAACTCCTTAAAATCTAATCAGAGCTGGCAGTTTCTGGTAAGAGATCGCCTTAATACAAACAAGTGCTTAAAACCAAATAAACACATTGCTCTCCAGTTGATCCAGACTCATTGAGGCTCTATGTATACAGAGCAGAACTGTTCTATAGGGATTTTTTGCTTCGTATGAAAGAATGTTGCCAGGACTTTCTTCCACAGAGCCACTGGGTGGTTTTTTACCTGCCCACTTTGAGGTTGGTAGTTGATCACAAACTATTTGCATCACTTAAACCACAATAAATCAGCTCTTTATATTTTTGGAAAGGTCTTCCTAGCATATGTTGTTGCTAAGTGTCATCGTTGAGTCAATGCCAACTCATAAAAACCCTTATAGGATTCTCGAGCAGTGGCTGGTGAGTTTGAACCACTGACCATGCAATTCAAACCGATCTTGAGGTCAAGTGCTTATCCACAGTGCCACACCACTGAGGCTCAGTCAATGCAACCGTATAGTTGCTATGAGTATGCAATATATTATATGTTGGTATTGTTTAGTGCTGTAGAGTCGCTTCCAACTCATAGCAACCCTGAATAAAGTGGAGTTTGACATGCTGAAGTTGCAACTGGCAGTCCAGTGTTGATCCTAACGTCCCATTATGTTACTGTTAAGTGTCAGCAAGTCGATTCCGACCTATAATGACCTTATATGGTGTTTTCAAGGAGCTGCTGGCGAATTTGAACTGCTCACCTTGCAATTCAAAGCAACTTTGCAGTCCAGTGCATTTAACACACAGTGCACACTTGGACTCCACAGTCCCAATATAACAGGAATAAAACAAGGACTAACTTATTATTTGAGCACAGAATAAAACAAAAATGCATGAAAATGTTATGACTAACAGTGTTTTCGGTGCTGTTTTCATTAAAAGGGTAACTTTTGTTGGTAACATTGTGTGGGAGGAAGTCTTCACTAGAATAGCAAATGCTGAAGACACACCACACTCATTTATAGCTAGTGCCAACCACACCTATGAAGTTTTTAAGGGGATGTGACTATTGTCAAAAGGAATCAGGTCCAGCCATGCTGTGTAGAACTCTGGTTACTATCAAAACTGCAGCGGAGGGGTTCCTCCAGCTTCTCTAAGGCAGGTGGGCACAGACCAGCAAGGAAGTGAGTTCTGCATACTGTACGGATCATTGCTCTGTTCAGGGCAGTCAGATTAAATCTGCACTCAAAGCCGCTGTGTTTTGTGAAACCGTCAGCCCTCATTTGTGTCTAGCTGTTTGTTCCTGTCCCACTGTAAACAAGGCTGACTCTGAGCTGTAGACCTACCCTCATCTGCACAAGAAGATCCCAGAGTCAGAACTAGTCAGTGGCCTCAGAGTTCAAGTTCAAGTTTCTTCTTCCAGACAGCAGTCGCCTTACAAACTGAGATGTCACAAGGAGAAGCCACGTTGGTATGACAGAGTTATTACCCCTGCTTGGAAACACATACCTTAGATTCTTACACAAACTAGTGTAGTGTGTCTCTCCCGTGAAATTAAATGAGATGTCTGTCTTTTTCTGAAGACTAACTCAGCTGATTCATCTTATGGAGGGGGCGGGGGGGGAGGGGAGTAAGGGTGGTGGTTTTCGTCATTTCACTGCTCTGAGTCTTTGCTAGAATCAGCCCCCTAAAAAGAGGGGAGGGCTAGAAATACTGGCAATCTGGCCAGACTCCAGAAACCTAATGACTCACGAATGCTCAAAGTGTAATGATTGTAAACAAGAACAGGTAAGCTGGCTTCTGTTCTCATCTACTTCAGTCATAATGTTGCCTTCACAATAAAGCAGAAATGGATTCAGAAGGAATCTCATCCCAATGATGAAAGGTGGGCAGTGTTATTGAAGCCATATTCCTTGGCAAGTGACGTAAAGGTAACATTTAGCATTCACTACATTGAATTCTCCTGGCCAGCTGGTGTGTCCCTGTTAAAACTTTCATTTATGCAGCTCGAGCTGGAACCTTTTTTGTTCTCCCAGTCTATTACTCAGTGGATTTCAGGGTAACAGCCAAAGTGAAACAGCTTGCAATTTGCACCTGCCTGCTGTAAGCTTTCTATGTTAGATTATGTGGAAGACAAACTCTTCCCTGCTAATGAGAGTAAGAGTGGAGAGAGCGGAATACAGTTTTGTTGGCAGGCTTCTTAGATATTTCTGTGTGTTTTATTTTTTTCTTATTAGTGATCTGATAGAAATCTCCCATTTTTGTGTTTTACAGTCTCTAGAGTAAGAGAACAAAATCCAAAAAATATATAGTTAAATTGTCTCATAAGCAAAGGATTTTTTACTGTCTTTTAACTACGATTGAATTAATATTCAGCCTGAGTTGCCTGAAATGAGAAATAAAATATTAAATACTGAATTGTTTCCAAGGTATTATAAGCATAAAATACTTAGAGATATCTAAACTTTTTAAATCACTCTTGAAAGAAAAGAGATACAATTTTTTTACATATATTAGAGAAACAGGACTGATTTTGGAAATTGTGCCAAGTTCAGGAAAGTAAACCGAAGTGTTCTTCTTATATCAATGTTGAAAGTGTAATGAACTGATTTCACAATAAAAATTCAAGCTCACAACTTCAAGATCTTGAATAACATAAATACTCTTGGATATTTCTCTCCGACTCATCATCTTATGAATCACAGAATTCCGCACAATTGCAAAAACCTTGACATATAGGATTCTCTCCAACCTTTTCCACAAGTACGCTGTATCCCCCTTTGCTCTGATTCCTCCAAAGAATTACATCAGTGTGCTATTATCTGGTTTCTTAAAATTTAATTGAACTCATTAAGATGAAATAGTTTTGATTATAGCTTAAACAGATTATAAAATTTCCCCAAACTTTGTCTATTAAAAAACGCGTAACAGCAAGATTTCCCTAAATTGGCAAAGTATTCATGAAGATGATCCAAAATTAAGTAGATACATAGGTATATATGGAAGAAGAACGTATGTATATGTATCAGGGGGCTTCAAACAATCTGGGGAAAAAAATACATCCAAAAGATAATGGGATTTTTCCATGAGTTTATCATACCCCCTCAGACATGTACATAAATAGATGCGATCATTTGTTGAACCTTATATGTTAATGAGGGCACTTCAAAAAGTTCATGGAAAAATTACATTGTGTTTCTATTCCATTTCACTTAATGCCCCCTGATGTGTGTGTACATAGATAAATATAATCTAATATGCATTTATCTGATATTTTATGATATATTAGGTAATAAGTATGTGATTGTATCAATCGAAGGACCACACTGGCATTTCCTGTTGAAATAATTTACACATTAAGAATTCCTGTTGAAATAATAACTGATCTGGTAAGGAATGAAGTTGAATGTTCACAAACGTGATCTCACCAGTAATTGATAAAGTCACTTCTGGCTCTTGCCCACATCTTGCCTGACACAGAATGTTCCAGCATGTCAGGGATAGCCCCTTTCGGCACAGCTTTAGGAGGTCTGCCAGCCTTTGCCGAGTCTGGCAGGTCAAAGGGCTGAGCCATGTGTAATTCAGAACAGAGGAGGTCCCACGGTCACTCCACAAAAACAATTACACTACTTATTTCACTGTAGCCCTTGCCCAAAACTCACAGACCTCACAGTGTCGATGCAGCCAACCTAATTCTGCCCCTGGGCGATAAGCCACATGAAAATATGTGCTGCTGTGTTTATAAATCTAATCAAAAATAGAAACAGTGGACAGGCACAATGAGGTCCTACTATGGACCATGGGAATCCTCCCAAATCCTGAAGGCTCTTTTGTTTAACTTCAATAGACTCTCTCTCGCTACTGTGTTGTCTGCTACACTCGTTAATCATCCTCTTTTACTGTGAATGCTACAAAGAAGGCTCAATTTCTACTCCTTCGACACTTTCCATACATGAATGTTATGAAAAATAAAGCTTAAAAGGTTGCTTTTAAAAGAAAGAATCAAAGAGGTGGCTTATCAATCTTACCTCTCTATCCATGTCCTCTCTTCCTTGCCCTTGGCAATGCACAGATTTAAATCAAGTTCCTCTAAAAAAGAAAAATAATATTTGAAAACTAGAATAAAATATTGTGCCAACCATAGCTCTATTAACCCTTTGGAGCTGGTGAGCTATAATGATACTTGTTGTTGTTGTTGTTGTTAAGTGTCATGGAGTCAGTTCCAACTCATAGAGACCCTGAATAGAATTTTCACGGACTTGCTGGGGGGTTTATACCGCTGACCTTTCCCTTAGCAGTCCAGTGCTTATCCTACAGCCCCACACCAGGAATCCATAATGCTACTTAATGGTTCTGAGAAAATAAAAGTAGAAAATCAATGGTTGATTTGTTGTCTTATTTTTACTGCTGTTATTCTAGTTTTTTTAATTCAGACTCCTAATAAATTGAGAGTAAATGACTACTCACAGAAGTTTTTCAAAGGTAATCTCTGGGTAAAAATCAGACTTGAATTGCTATTGTTAGGTCCCATTAGTCAATTCTGATGAATGGCGACTTATAGGACAGAGGCAAAGTGACCCATACTGTTTCCTAGGCTGTAATCTTTACGGGAGGAATTCTGGTAGCGTAGTGGTTATGAATTGGGCTGCTAACCTCAAGGTCAGCAGTTCGAAACTACCAGCTGTTCCATGGGAGAAAGATGAGGCTTTCTGCTCCCGTAAAGATTTACAGCCTCAGAAACCCTACACAGGGTCACTAAGAGTTGGAACCGACTCCACGGCACACCACCACCAATTGTTATGGGGGTGAATCACAAGGTTATTTCTCTTGCAGAGCAGCTGGTACTCTAATGCTTCAAACCCAGGCACATTCAAGTGTTTAGCCATTGTGTCACTAGGGCTCCTTAAGACTTATTTGCTGTTGTTGTTAAGTGCCGTCAAGTTGGTTGCAAATCATGGTGACCCCTGATTTGGGTTTTCAAGGCTGTAAATCTTGGCAGGAACAGAAAACCTCATCATTCTCCCATGGAGCACTTGGTAGAACGGGAAAAGCCAACCTTGTGGTTCTCAGTCAAGTGTTTATCTTATGGAGCCATGGTGCTCCCGTAAGATTTATGCTATGTTGTGTTATGTTATGTTATGTTATGTTATGTTATGTTATGTTATGTTATGCTATGCTATGCTATGCTGTGGTGATGTGATGTGATGTCATGCCATGCCATGTCATGTCATGTCATATCATGTCATGTCATACTATGTTATATTAAGCTAAGTGCCATCAAATAGGTTCCGACTTAAAGCAAACCTGTCTAGGGTTTCTGAGATGTGGTTCGTGGGTTTGAACCACTCACTTAGTGATTCAAACCAACCTTGTGGTCCAGCGCTTATCCTACAGTGCCACACCAAGACTAATTTAGATAAACTAAAATTTCATATTTTATGCCAAGAAGGTGACTAATTCAGATTGCATTGAAGCGATGATGAAAACTTGCTGTAGCATGCTTCAGGTAGCTATACTATATTTATCTTAAAAAAAAAAAAATTGTGATCCAGTACTGTAACTATCATAAAAAGATAGCATCTTATAAAGCCAATGGTAAATATATGTACTTAGGGGTCAAGCAGATTAAAACTTGAAAACGTTTTGCAGTAAAGATATGGAATACAAATATGGTAATGAGAGCAAAGTAAATTTGTTTTTAACACTCTAGAGTTGTGCAATAAATTATTATTCAATTCAGTGTATAAGCAATTCCGCTTGATAGTGGTCCAATTATTAAAACTACTACACTATAATACAAACTAGGGCTGTATGATAATAATACATAGGAAATTTTTTAATGAAGAGTGTTCTTAGTATTTATTGGATCATTGCAAACACTCACCAAAGAAGTATTTTAAACTTGGAATATGCCCTTTCGAAATGGTTATCAGTACTTGGCAATAAAAACCTCGTATACCACATATGAATGACACATGTGACACACGTTTTTTTTTTTATTCAAGGCCATCATTCTTAGTTAAAACACGTCACAAAGTGTGAGCTCTTAAATAATTATCAACACTGGGAAAAAAGGAATAATGTTAATTCTTCTAGTACTAAGGTTAAAACTCTTACTTTTTAAAGTACTAGTAAAATAAAAGATTTATAAATTATTCTGAATAATCAATTCTCAAAGTAAGGGACATGTATGTACAACATTTTTTAAAACAGCATCAAAATAAGTAAATTTCAGCAATTAGCAGAAATTAAAGTTTGACTTCCTTGCTTATTTTCATGCACAAAACCTTACATCTTTTTGGAATACGTAGATGAAATAGAATGCTGTTTTATTTTGTTTCCCTAAATTTGGTCTTGTTTTCAACTGCTAATATTTATCTTTTTGAAAGTTTGAACTATTTAAAAGTTGCTATATTACTCACAGCAGAGTACTTTAAAAAGTAAGAGTTTTAACTGCTCAGCTGCTAACTGAAAAGCCAGTGGTTCAAACCTATCATCTGCTCTGCCTGAGAAATATGGATCCCCTTGGAGACCCTCTGGGACTGTTACTCTGTATCCTATATGGACACTGTAACCTGAAATTCAACTCAACAGCATGAATGTGTTTGCTTGTTTGTTTTGGTTTATATTATTGACATTATAAATTTATATTGCAGACCCACAAGTCAACATGTACAACCAAAAAGTATAGCTTGTCTGATCAATACAAGGCCAAGGAAACCTTCAAAGAAGGCAGACCATTGCTCTTCCTTCACAGAAGACTGCATTTTAAACATTCTCTTTCTGCACAAATGTTCAGAATGTAACATTAGTACTCAAACCAACCAAACAAAAACAAAAACACACGGCAGTAGAGGAGATATTGACTCATAGCCAACCTCTGGGTTCCACAACCATAAACCTTCACAGAAGAAGACTTCCTGCAGTGGATGCAAACTGCTAAGCTTTTTGTGCCGCCAATGTTCCTAATATTAGCACAATCTGTAAAATTAGTCATGAAGAGGTGCTTAAGCTTTGGTTGTTGTAAGTGCTGTCGAGCAGGTTCTGACTTGAGGAGACCTAGGTGAAACACTCCACCTGGTCCTCCTCCACGCTTGTACTCAGCGCCATGTTTGAGCCTACTATTGCAACCACTGTGTCTATCCAACTTGTTGAGGGTCTTCTCTTTCTCACTGACCTCCTACTTTACCAAGCATGGTACGTTTTTCATGAATTGACCCCTCCTAATAAAATATCCAAAGTATGTGAGATAAAGTCTCATCATCTTGACTTCTAAGAAGCATTCTGTCTGTGCTTCTTCCAAGACACATTTGTTCATTCTTCTGCAGTCTATGATGTGTTCAATATTCTTCTCCAACATTATAATTAAAATGCATAAATTCATCTTCAGAGTTCCTGATTCAGTGTCTAGCTTTCACATGAGTATGAGGTAATTGATTCCGCTTCGATTCCACTTACCTTTGTCCTCAAAGGGACGTCTTTGCTCTTTAACAACGTCTTTTATAGAAGATTTGCCCATTGTACATGATGTTTGATTACTGACTGCTGCTTCCATAGGAATTGATTGTGGAACTAGGTAAAATCAAATCCTTGACAATTTCAATCTTTTCTCCTGTCATGATGCTGCTTCTTGGTCCACTTGTGGGGATTTTTATTTTCTTTATGTTAATGTGTAATCTACACTGAGACCTTTATTCTTTACCAGGAAGTGCTTCAAGTCCTTTTCGCTTTCTTCAGCAAACAAGGTATGTCTTGTCTTCCTCCAATCCTGATGCCAGCTTCTTGAATTATTTGCTCAGCATACAGATTGACTAAATATGGTGAAAAGATGCAACCTTGATATATACATTTCTTGCTTATAAACCATACTTGTTCTGATGTTTGTCTTTGTACAAATTCCTCATGAGCACAATTAAGTGTTCTGAAATTCCCCTTCTTCACAATGTCACCTATAATTTGAGATTCATACAATCAGATACCTTTGCATAACCAATAAAACACAGTTAACCTTTTTTTGATATTCTCTGATTTCAGGCTGAGCCATCTGACAGCAATGATATCCTTTGTTCCTTGTCCTCTTCTGAATCTGGCTTGAACTTCGGACAGTTCTCTGTCAATGTACTGCTACCACCATTTTTGAATTATCCCCAGCAAAATAAGAATTAGTAAAACTGTGAATTAAAATAAAAATTGTTTTATTGGCTCACGTCTTAACGGAAATGCCATAAGTGGATGGTTTTCTCTTTCTGTCAGTTCTGCACAGAACTTGTCTCCTTTCAAAACCCATTAAGTTCAGCATTCCTTAGTGATCTCACTGTGTATTGGCATCAGTCTTTCCCTGGACCTAGGAGCTTCACAGTGTAGGGACCCCAGCTCAATAAGATGAACTCCACTTGGTGGTAGTAGGTCCCCCTTTCTCTGTTCACATTTCTCTCCTTTCTTACAGGATAAAAGGAGAGAGATGTGAACAGAGAAAGGGGGACCTACTAAAAGATAAAAGATAAAACGTATTGCAGGCCACACTCCTGGGGAAATCCCTTACATTAGATCAAGACTGTGATGGAATCAAGGGTATTGCAGACCACCCTTAAACCTTTCATTGGTTTATCACATACAATTACATCATAGGAAATCATCAATAATGGCCCTATTACATCATTCTATAACTGTTAACCCATTGACAACCACCACCCAGCCAAATAGACACATATATGGAGAGAGGAGGACACAATTTGGTCTACAAAAATTCATATACAATATTTTACTCACTTTGGTGAGGTTTCTGCAAAACAGAAAAATTTGTTCCTGAGCAATATCCAAGGCAACAGTTGTCAGTCAGGAGTGATTTTTTTTCTGTTCTGGGCACATCTGGAGTCCCTGCATGGTGAAAATGCTTAACACACTTGGCTATTAACAGGAAGGCTAGAGGATGTAGGTTGGAGTTGAATTGGAAATGACTCAAAAGAAAAAAAAAAAAAGTGAGCCATTAAAATCCCTGTGGAACAGATTCTATTCTGACACACACGAGGCACCATGAGTAGTAGTCAACTCAATGGCAACTCCTTTTTATTTGAAGGTAGGGGACGTTGGT